TAAGATGAAGCTATGGGTACATTTTTGTTTAAATCACGTTTTTTATGAGCTTTATATTCAATCAATATTTAATTTGTTCTACTTATATTTCATATTTATTATAGATTTATTTGTTGAAAGTGAAGCTTGACGGAATAGTGATTTTAGCATTAATATATTAAGTAATAACCCTACAATATGATTATGTGTAAGTATAATATATAATAACGTACAACTGGATAATTAAACTGTGACACACACACCACGTACACTCGGTAAGACAGCGTCTGTGCAAGTGATTATTACATACATCAAAAGTCCTATTTATATGAACAATCGAGGCCATCCCGTATCTGTATATAATATAGAAAGGTGTTGCACAGCTATATCGTGACTGCATAAGTATCTATTAGAAAACGACATTGTACACGCACGTGTGTTTACATAGTTTGAATACTAATATTAATTGTATATTTCAACATTATTCATAAATTGTGTTTCAATAAAAAAGCCTGGTTGAATAAAAAACTTAATTGAAAAAAATCTAAATAAAAAAAACCTGTTAGAGATACGCCGTATAATGTCGAGTTGCATTTCGGCCGACGCATAGCTGGTGATCTTCTCGTGGGGGGGGGGGGGTGGCTATTAGCCGTGGCCGGGAACACCAACCCTTCCACCGTCACCACGCTGCAGTCGTGGCCACTCGAATGTGAAATGCAACTGGAATGGCAGCAGGATTCTGCATCACTTGTCTTACGACTGGCGCAGTACAAAAATCGCAAACCTTCACCTTTTTTCATGGATTGTAACACCTCCAAGACCATCAGCACTGAGGTTGGTGTGTAATTCTGTCACTTTGTCATCACGCCGGAACATGGATTGCACCTTGTCACCTGCAAGGGCATCCTGTAGCTTGCGGACTGCTTGTTCCTGACCATCAGTAAATTGGAATTTTACACCTTTGCACAACAGAGCAGTCAGCGGTTCTGCTATGACAGCATATGAGAGCACGAACAGATGGAAAAATTCAGTGACTCCGATTAACCGTCGAACAGAATGCACCCCACACGGCACGGGGTATTCAACAATCGCGTTAGTCTTTTCGCGACCCAGGTGAATCTCGCAGTTCTCAACCACGAATACCAAGAACTCCACTTGACCCATACCAAACTGGCACTTTGACGGCTGTCATGTCAATTTAGCGTCCCAAGTCGATCTAACACTAGTCTTAGTTTTCTCAGCATGTCAGACCTTTGATTATCATATTGTCCAAGTAGTTCCGAACTATTTTGCCATGGAGTGGCCCGATAACTCACTGCATCAAACGGGTGAACTCAGCCACTGCTCCGGAGAGACCAAAATGCATACGGGTGAATTCTCCAGTCGTATTAGTGGTGATGAAAGTGGTTTTCTGTGAAGCCTCTGCAGACAGTGGTATCTACAGATAACCACTCGCGGGGTCGAGCTGCTTGAACATACGGCCTTCCGCGAGAGACTCCAACTGCTCAATCATATCAGGAAGGAGTAGTGGTGTTTAACTAAATAATTTATCCAGAAATCAACACAAAGTCGATTTTTCCATCCGGCTTGCTTCACTAAAATCACTGAACTAGCGTATGGAGGAATGCTATTGCGAACCACACCATGCAACTTCCAATTGGCCACTATCTTGGCGATCTCCTCTCTATCAGACCTAGTGGTCTTGTACGGTCGACACACCATGGGTCGACTGCCTGAGACCTCGTTAATATCAACAGTCATAAAAGGCGTAAAGCCTAGCCTCACCTAGATTCTTAGCGAAGCAATCACGCTATTCGTTCACGAGTTCGATCAGACCTTAGCGTTCAACAGCAGTTACATCGGGTTTAACATACCTACAATCGGCCTTATTATAAACTGAGGAAAAATACAAATCAAATAAATCTGGTACTTGATTACTCGAAGCTTGTATGTTTCCATGATGAACCCTGTGACGATCAGAGTTGGATGACCATTTGACTAGGTATAGTATTTGTACACATAGGCTGTAGTGATACAAATGTTGCGTGTGCGTGCGACAGCCGACTTTGTCCAGCGCGTTCAAGTCCGCCGATCGACGACACACACGCTCCCCTCTTTCGTCTCCATGGTCTGGGCCACGGCAACTTATTATGCGTTTAGGGATATCGGCCGATTAATTTAGGTCTCTCGATCTCGCTCTGTCTTCCCACTCCCACTGTCTCTGTCACCCGTCATCTTTTTCGTGCGTTTGTGGCCAAATAAGCCGACGAACGACACTTCTTTTCCCTACGCCGGTGCAAACACAATGCTGGAAGAGTAGTACACCACGGTCACCGTAGCGTCATCGGACGGCACTCATGACAGGAGCATGGTGGTTTGTATATTTGTATATTTGTATATTATTACCTATTTATCATCGTTTCTGGTATCCCTACTGATTTATTACCTATTATTATTGCCATATTTGGCTGAATTATTATTATTATTGCCATATTTGGCTGGTATATGTTATTGTTCCTGTGTGTGTCATTTTTATTTATTTTGTCCGAGTCTTATGCCGGCGGCTTTCTCGGCGCTGACCTTTAAAAATAATATAATGATTTTTTTTCACCTACGTAGTGTGTTATGTTGATCCTTTATTATTATTGTTAAGATTTCCTCATTCCTGGTCTTACCAAGTATAAAAAATCCACGATGCTCCGACCTTTTGGGGTCTCAGCTCGTGGTTGGTGACCTTACTCGACCACTTGACTCTCGGATCATGAGTAATATGACTCGAGTTGTCACAACCCCTTCAGGAATTTCTTGGCAACCTTGGCTTTTGCGGGCGTAGTCCAAAAACGAACGAGGATCACCTCGCAAACAGTCCTGCATTCTACATAGATAGGATCTATGTAATTTTTAGGGTTCCGTACGTTTCCCTATGGAAGCCTATTACTTTCGCTCAGCTGTCCGCCCGTCCATCCGTCTGTTGCCAGGCTGTATCTCATGAACCATGAAAGTTAGAAAGTTGAAATTTTCACAGATTATGTATTTCCGTGGATGCTATAACGAAAAATACTAAAAAGAGGGATAAGAGCAACCCCGGGGGGTGCTAAAACGGGAATTTTGAGATTTCAGATGGAAATTTTGTTTATAAATAGTTACCACGAGTGACGTCGTATTGTTAATTAATGGTTGTCATGGTCCATGAGTGACGTCGTATACAAAGATTCGTTTTATAAATTTCAATACAGAATTATAGTGAATCGTTTTAAGTTACAAAATTATACAGTCCACAGTTATTTTCCTCGCCGGAACAAGTACCTACTGTCGAGGAGAAACTGCTGAAATTCAGATAACAGATATATTCGACATCACCGAGACTGCTATTCGTAGTAGGTACAACTGTTACACTTGACATCCGACTGTTTACAGTCAAGCGAAAGTTGATTTTAACGCAATAGCGTTAATACTAATAAAATAAGTACCTATACATTGAGAAGGTAATTTTATAAATTAATTTATCTTATAAATTTAGGTTGTTTTGTAATTATTTAGTAATAGGCATTAAATTATCACGGTATCCTTGAACGTTTCAGTGGATCAATTTAGCTTCTTTTTGCATTTTTATAGGATACTACTGTAGGATTGACTAACAAAGCTTTGATTAATAAAAATGGATTTCGGAAACAACAATTTCGATTTCCAATACTTATTAAGTGAATCTAATTATGTGGAGGACGATTTTTTTCATAACATTTTACATCGTTATACGTCTTCCCAGACCTGTCCAATGGATTTTTTGAACACCGTGTTTGACATATCACCTGTTTATCGTAATCAGAAACACATCCAGTTCTTTTACTATGGAGAGAATTACAGTGGAATCGGACACTGGGTGTGTCTATTCTACAATGGTGACTCATTGCGCATATATGATGGTCTTAAGGGCAAATCTATGCCGCCTTTACAGCAGGCGTTTGTGGATGCTCTATTCCCACACAAGCCTTCAACTTTTTTCCCCGATATACAGGCGCAGACGAATAATTACGACTGTGGCGTCTTTGCTATTGCCTATGCCACATCACTTGCATTGAACCGAAACCCAGCGTTTGAAAATTGCATTATTTCAGAAATTCGCCCCCATGTGTTGCGCATTCTAGAAAGTAGAGAACTAATACAGTTTCCATCTATTCCAAGGAAGCCACGGGATCCAGTTTGAATATCACGAAGCTGAAAAATCTCGAAATACTCTAGAACATCATTTTGCTCGACTCGAGTCTCAATATCGTAAAGCTGAACAATCACAAAATACTCTAGCCCATCGTGATGCTCGTCAAGATATAGATTTTCGAATAAATGAACAAAATGCAGCCAAGTTCCGTAAAGAAAGGGTTATGTCTAACTGGGAATCAGTTTGTGAAGAATATATTTCTGCAGTACAAGAAGGGCACTCTAACCCATGTCACTGTTGTTTACGTTTGTGGCATAAAAAAGTATCCAATTTATTTCAAAATCTTCATTGATATTAAAAAGTTGTAAATATACCGATGACTGTTTGTCACAAATATTTCACCTCCACCCAGAGGTAGATAAAGGTTATTTCTGTAGCACGTGCGCAACAACTATACGATGTTTCAAAATTCGTCGTTTAGCCAGAGCAAATGGATTGGTATTTCCTGAATTACCTGACGTTTTAAAAGATCTTACTCCTCTTAAAGAACGTCAAAAATGTGCTCGACATATTTTTATAAAAATTGTTAAAAGGGGAAGTGGCTTAGGATATCAGCATTGCCTTGCAGGAAATTTAATAAATGTACCTGTTGAAGTAAACACTATGGTTACTTCATTATCTAGGTCAGTATCAGATAAGCATCTCATTACAGTAGAACTGAAACTCAAAATGTGTTACAAACACGGACCAAAACAACGTATTAGACCAAAAAAGTATGCGAAGCTGCTCAGAACTTAGTTGAATGTAATCTTTATAAAGAATTAAACATTCAAATTGATGAGAACAGGTCATTTGATGATGAGAATAATGAAGATGTGTGTACGTGTGATGAGCTGAATAATGAAACGGAGAATAATAATGAAGATGAAGATGTTAATCCTGGTGGGAATGAAACCCTATTAAATCAAGATTTCACTTTGATAACTGCACCAGGTGAAGGAAAACAGCCACTTTCTCTCATTTTCGACGAACACATGGAAGAATTAGCTTTTGTAAAAATTCATTGTGGTCAAAAAAGAGAATTTAAAGTAAAACTAAGTCGTATGGACATTACAAAATCAGAAATATCTCGAGAAGATCGTCGTTCCGTTCGTCCTGATTATCTATTTACTGCTTTGAAAAAGCAACAAACTATCAGAGTGCAAAATAGTATTGCGATGTCTTTGAAAGAAAAATCGAACTGGGGAAGCTATTTTGGTTGAGAATATGCTAGATTCTGCTTACGTTGATAGTTTGGTTCAAGGTGATGAAGGATATCGAGTTTTAAGAGGAATAAAAAATTCGCCTGCTCACTGGGAAGCAGAGAAAAAAAAATTACTCGCTATGGTTAGGCAATTTGGTGTTCCAACACTTTTTGTAACTCTTTCGGAGGCAGAAACAAAATAGCTTGAACTAATTAAATTGTTAAAAAAGACCGTGGATGGAGAGGAAATAAATAAGGAGCAGACAGAACAACTGTCTTATGTTGATAAAGCTCGCCTTATACAAAGCCACCCCTATATATGCGCTACGTATTTTGAAACTCGACTGTAAGCTAAGTCTTAAAAAGCATGGTCTTGTACGTCAGGTCCTTTAGGTACATTTAAAATAGACCATTTTTATAACAGAATTGAGTTCCAGCACCGTGGTTCTCCCCATGCCCACATAATATTGTGGCTGAAAGGAGCACTGGTGTTTAAGCCAGGCGATATAACGGTAATTCCGCAGATTGTTAACTTTATTGATAATATCATAACTTGTAACAGCGAAGACATTGCGACTTCACTCTTCGAATTACAGCGACATAAGCATACACATACCTGTCACCCAAAGCCAGGAAGACCATGTAGATTTGGTATACCATTTTACCCATATGACAGCACAATAGTTTTAACAGAACTGAATAAAGATGAACCTACGTATAAAAATAGCAAAACACAGGCAAGTGAACTAAAGGAAAAACTTAATA